CGTTTAAAGAAAATCCACAAATTGTGCAATAATTCAGTTTTATTTAAACAACTTCGAGACGATATCTCCAAAATTGCAATTGTTTCCTCTTTTACTATATACTATGCCAAAGATCAACCCTCTTGGGTTAATCCGCCTCTTTTTGAACTAACATTTTAATTGAATGCAGTCTCCCTTAATTTGATGATAGGCCGGCCTCTATTTTTATACTTTTATATATTGGTATATTTTGTGTCTTAATGTTTTTGTATGTCAACTCATTTAGCCTTGCGTGTTCCCAGTTTTGGGACACTGTTCTGGGCTCTTTATTTGTTTCCTGTATTGTTTTTTATGCAATAAAGTGATTTTATAAAAAAAAATACACCTTAATTTTTCGAGTGGAATGCGACAGTTCATTGGAATAGCAAAGTTTTTCAATGTTTGGCCTACTAGGATATTATCCCAGTCGGGCCTATCGCATCGTACTCTAGCTGCTTAAAATTTCCGCATGTCTGGTCTTCGATATCAGTCAATCATGGATTCAGTGAGTCAATGGAAATCAGAGCATACCCTACAACGCTTAAATTTGCTATTGTGACAAACGTGTGGTGGCACGTCAGAATAGCCAATTTAACACTGGAATGGAGGCAGTGCTTCCAAGAGTATGTGCGCCTGCCCTTCTTCTTATCACAAATCGGACATCCACTGTCAATCGGGTATTCTATCTATAAGCCTAATCTGAATGATTAAAGTTTAAAAATTAAAAGAAACTTTGAATTATTATTATTTGAATTGAAATTTGTTAAAATACAGGAATAAGAATTTTTTTGAAGAGAAGACAACCATGCAGATATTGAAAATAACATACATTGTGTTTTGACTATACATGGCCGGCGGAACCGGGGGGTCGGGGGCCGGCTCCTCCACCCCCACTTTTTGGCAAAAAGTATATAATGTCTGGAGATTTTTGTATGATTGGAAAGAAATGCAAGAAAAAAAAAGAGGGAAGAAGAAGAAGGATGGGAAAGAGAATGTTTATCCAGTCCCCGACAGAGTTACATTTTCTTGCAATTCATATTTGCGGATCTGGAGGAGGGGGTAATTGGTCCTGACCACTCCCTTGGGCAACAAAATAAGAAACAAAAGTTCTAGACCTAGGACCCGTCAGCTGATTTTTTTTTTTTTTAATATTACGATAAGAAAATTAGAATTTTGAAGAACATAAAAGTAATCAAATGTCGGGAAAGCTCATTTCCCACCATCTAGGAATCGAAATTTTCCTGGGGGAAAAAACCCCGGACCACCCTTTTTTGGGATTTATCGATTCATGGGAAAAAGAATACGCATGCAACTACTCATTTATTTATGCATGTATACACACATAAAGAAAAAAAAATAATGAGAAACATTTACCTGACTTTTTTCAAGAGGGGAAAACCTTGAATTTTGAAGAACTTAAACATTCATTTAAAAGATATTTCGGAAGTCAGGAAAGCTCATTTTTCAAGTTCTAGAAATCGAAATTTTCCCGGTGGAACCCGGACCCCATTTTTCTTTGGGGTTCATTGATTCATTGAATCATTTTCAAGAGGGGGAAAACCTTGAAACTGAAGAAATGAAAAGTAGGTAGTTCAAAGACACTCAGAAGTCGGGAAATCTCATTTCCCGTCTTCTAGGAATCAAA